ATGACAAATCGAGATCGATCAGACGAGGCATATCCGAAAATATGTAAGAATCAACCTGAAAATTTCATACAACAATAGAGGCATGCAAAATGATTTTGAAAATTGCTTCGAGAGTTTTGAGAAATTTGTTTAGTCCCAAACTTTTACAAAAAAACCTCTTTGCCGTTCTGGCGTATTCTGTGCCACAAGCCTTTAAGTCACATCATCACTGCCGTCGACTGGCACATTTTGTTTGCGTTGTCAGCATCCGACAAAGACAGGGTATTAGAATGCATAAAATACATTCAACTGAGCAAGATTTGGCGGGGAATTACAAAGCATTATATAAAAAGACACAAAAAAATTAATTTTTTCTTAAAAAAACATTAAAAAAATATGCATTTCTTCGAAAATCAACTGAAAATGGCTGCAGAAGTAGCCGGCTGTTTCGTAATTATGCAAATGCAAAAACGTACGTTGATAAAACCCTCTCTTTGTTTCTCTTTCTCTCTCTGCCTATTTGTTTCTTATCAAATATTTCTATTTTGTGCTAGCTATGAGACGGAAATTTGGAAAATTTAGTTCTTCATTCTGCACTGTCCTTAAAAACCTAATGTCAGCCTTCTAATTTCTTGGGATCCCGAACTGTTTTTCAGTTTCAGTCTTGTACTAAACTTTTTCAAGTACAGAAAATCTAATTTTTGTGAAAATTTCAAATCTCTGTCGTTGAAACTGGTTTATTTTTGAAAGTTTAGAATCAAAAATGTGTTTTGTTATGAACTGAGAATATCATTACCCAGGATCGCGCACATTCATAAAAAACCCGAGGACTTATTATGATATTAGACAATTGCCGAGCATCTGTTATTTTTACATACAGAAACAAAGAGAGCATTTTTTGAAGAAAAACATCTAATAACTAACGGTTTGAAAAGCACTTACGGATGAAAGCTTGTTGTTGCGAAAATTCAACGAATGCAAGTGAGGTAGCTTGTTGAACAGGAATTTGTACGTTTTGCTGAAAGAAAACAATATTGTTTAAAAATGCAGATTCTGATTCCAAAAAAATTGTAAGATTGGAAATGAGATTTATTGTCAAATTATCGAAGTTTGTTTCTCATTAGCATTGCCTCTGCAGTAGCATGTGCAAGTTCGCTCCTCCGGGATCTCTTTGGAGTTAATCTGCAGAGAAAGGTGTAAACTACGGAATTAGTTTCGCCGGGTTTGCAAGTCACCTTTGCTCAGATTTTCGAAAAAATTTTTTTTGTATCTGAGGGATACAGTGTTTGCAAATCCCTCCGATTTACAGCTTCCCAAGGCACTAATTAGCTTCATATTTCGCCATTTAGCTAAAAAGTAGGAGCGGCAGCGATGTTCTTTCCCATTTCCCGTCTTCGGAAGTCACACTGTTCTCCAGTGATGAATTGCTTCTTTTTGTT